AGACAAACAGAGAATCCTAAAGGAAGCAAGGCAGAAAGAGGTAGTAACATATAACGGAGCCTAGGTACGTCTAGCAGCTGACTTCTCAAGAGAAACACTACAGGCCAGAAAGGAATGGCAAGAAATATTCCAAGTCATGAAAAGTAAAGGCCTGCAACCAAGACTGCTCTACCCAGCAAGGCTCTCAGTTAAAATGGAAGGAGAAATAAGGAGTTTCCCAGTCAAAAGAAGGCTACAAGAATACACCTCCACCAAAGCAACACTGCAAAATATGCTAAAGGGACTGCTTTAAGGAGATGAAGAAAAAGGATCTATGAATCCCAGTTCCTTTCACAGTCACCAATACTTGATATTACCAATATTTTTAATACTTAATCTGATTGTGACAATGATGTATTCATTGTTAACTTTATTATTGGTTGAAACTAAACCTGTTTTTGTAGATTTCTGCCAATTTCTATTACATTTTAAAAAAACGTTAAATGACTTTTTGGTATTTTTTATCCATTTTTTGATTGAATGTTTGCAGTTTTCTCCCTAAAAACCTTTTCTTCCTATTAACCCTTTTTTCCCTATTAGCCATTTTTTAGATGTGTTGCAAATACTTTCCTATTCTATTATTTGTCCTTTAACTTTTTCATACGTATATTACTATATAGTCTTAAATGTTTAGTATGGTCATATTGTCAATATTTTACTTTATAGCTTCTGGGTTTGAATATGTTACTTCAGAGTAAGAAAAATATTACTTTGTATTTTCTCCTAAAACTCCTTAGATTTTGCATATTGATTTTTAGCTCACCTGAATATTTTTTATGTGAAATAGGGCTCTGTATTTGTTGTATGTCTAGTAATAGTGGTCCATGCACCTTATTTGTTGAATAAGCCTTATTTTCCCCATTTATTTGAAATATCAATTTAATCATATATTACTTTGTTAGACAGATATATACATTTGTTTCTAGAATGCTCATTTTATTTCATTGATCTACTTGAGCATTTCTCTGCTGGTGTCATATTATTTTAATTGCTGAGACTTTATAATGGATTTAAATTTTTTATTATTTTATAATTGACCTTGACATTTAAAAAATAAATAAAATCAATCTGCATTAAAAAAAAAAGAAAGAAGGAAGGAATTCCTACCTTTTGCGACAACATGGATGGAACTGGAGAATATTATGCTAAGTGAAATAAGCCAGTCGATGAAAGACTAACACCACATGATCTCACCTATAAGTGGAATCTATTCAACAAAATAAACTAATGAACAAAATAAACCACAGGCAAGGAAACATGGAGCAGACTGAAAGTGACCAGAGGGGAAGGGGAAGGGACTAGACAAAGAACATGTATGAATGACCCATGGACATGGACAACAGAGTGGGAACTGACTGTGGGAGGAGAGGGGGACAGAGTGGGATGGGTGAGGAGGGCAAAGGGGGGAAAATTGAGACAACTGTTATAGAATAAACATGATTTAAAAATAAAAAAATTAAGAAAAGGAATTAGGGCTGTAGAGAAAGATAATAGTGATTCTTGCCCCCATCCCCGGAGTCAAAAAAAAAAAAAAAGAATTTTAAACAGGATGAGGATTTCTAGCTCCCATAACAAAGCAGTCCTTCGTAATTCAATAAAACGTTTTACTTGCAACAAATATAAGCTGCTCCCTATCAACAAGGATAAAATGTATATACAAAAAAAAGAAAGTTGCACTTGTAAACAGAATAAAAATTCATCCCCAAAATATAAAGGCACAGAGTTAAATTCTGTGGAAGTAGATATGCTTTCAGGAAACTTCTGGTCATTCTGGTGGAGGCTTATACAGAGGCAGATAAAGAAAGTGACCACCTCCTTCGCTCAGAGATGAAAAGGAAACAAAAGACAGATCTTATCAAAGATGATCTGCAAACGACATTAATCTCATACTGAAGTCATAAACCCACTCAATCAGACCACAGAGGATGCAGGCATGGGGGTGTGGGTGGGTGGATAAAAACAGCAGGACAATTACAATGAGATTTTTTTTTTAAACCTCATTAACCAGCAGAATAGAAACACTACTTATTTTACTGTACTACCATCTCTTTTTGCTAACAACCACTGCCCAAGGTAAAATGAGGCAGAGAGAAAAAGGGTACTGATAGACACTCCTCGTTCACTGAGCCTTTAATTTTCTTCTAACAGTCCACATCAGTGGTTCTCCACAGGGGGCAAGGGGTGATTTTTGCTTCCCAGGTGGACATGTGGCAATGTTTGGAGACATTTTTGACCATCACAGCTCAGGGGAATGCTACTGGTCACTAAAAAGTGGAGGTCAAGGATGCTGCTAAATATCCTATATAGCACAAAACAGCACCCTAAAACAAAGAATTCTCTTTCCCAAAATGTCAATAATGCTGAGGCTGAGAAACCATGTGATGGTTGGATATAAAGAAGAAAACAAAAATCAGCAGTCTCTAATATAAAAGCAATTAATGCCACTTTAAGAAAGATTGTAACAGGAACATTCTCCTCCTTAATAAGATAGCTATAGACCTCCTAAAAGTATCTGATAGATCCATAATGGGAAAACAGAACATGAAAAATATTAGGACACAATGTTTTACTATTTCAAATACTAACATACAAGTAAAAAATGAACCTGAAAAATGGAAAGGACAATTTTTTTTGCTCAATTGATTTTGATCGTCACTGTTTCAACAACAATAAAAGCAAATGTGGCCACACTTCTGATTTAGGTCAAATCTGACAAAAGATTTACTAAATTGTGTCACTGAAACAGCCAGAAATGTTAAGAATAAAAGAGTAACTTCTAGACTATCACAAAAATTAGCCAGTGATTTTTGAGATGCTCAATTCCAGTAAGAGATATTCAAAGTTATTTTCCCACATTATCTAAAAAATACCCTTTTTGTGGTTTTATGCTGAGAAAGAAAAACGTGAAAAAAGAGATGAAATAAAAACTTTTTTTGGTATTTATATTACAAGCCAATATATGCTAACACAGAAAGACAGAATTATTTCCTATGAAATCATATCCACTGAGAATAAGACTCTATATGAAATAGTAGAACAACAGAACAGCTTTCAAAAGATTTTGATGATAGAGCCTTTAACTGGTCACTGAGTTTTGTGAAAAGGACATAAAAAGAAAGAACAAAAGAGTAATATACCTACATAATGGTATTTGACTTATTACAGTAAACAAAACACCCTAACATAACAAAAATATTTCCAAATCTTAATTAATAAAGTTAATGTTACTATATATGTGCATTTATGACTCCATCAAAAGAATTAATCATTTAAGAAGGCAATTAAGCACAGTGAAATGGAATCGGTAGAAATGCAATTTGACCCCTAATTCTATGAAATCTCCCTCTGAAACAGACATATATGATAGCATATCCACTTCTGGCTATTTATCTGAAGAAATCCAAAAACACTAATCTGAAAATACATATGCATCCCTATGTTCATTGCAGCATTATTTACAATACAAGGTATGGAAGCAGCTTCAGTGCCCATCATTAGATGACTAGATAAAGGAGATGTGGTACATGTGAGTACACTATGGAATCCTACTCAGCCACAAAAAAGAATGAAATCTTACCATTTGCAACAACATGGATGGACGTAGAGATTATTATGCTAAGTGAAATAAGTCAGAGAAAGACATATACCATATGATTTCACTTACATATGGAATCTAAAAAACAAAACAAATAAAACAGAAACAAACTCATAGATAGAGAACATTTTGATGGTTGCCAGATGGGAGGAGGGTTGAGGGGTTGGGTGAAAAAAGGGAAGGGATTGGGAAGTATAAATTGGTAGTTACAAAATAGTCCCAGGGATGTAAAGTACAGCATAGGGAATATATAGTCAATAATATTGTAATTATATGTGTGGCTCCATATTATTGTAATAATACGTGTAGACTAATCAGAGTGATCGCTTCGTAAGTTATAGAAATGTCTAATCACTATGCTGTACACGTGAACTAATACCATATTGTATGTCAGCTGCAATTAAAAAAACACTTTTAATGTGACAATATATCATTTCATTGAGGAAAATACAAACAAAATTAGAAAATTCTTCTTTTCAGGTTGTGAATAAGACACATTAAAGCACAATTCTACCAACCTATTTGTGCTTTCTTAATCATCTTGTTTGTTTCTTTGTTTGTTTTGGAGAGGAGGATGTTGTTCCTAAGTCAAAAAAAAAAAAATTCCCTGTAACAGTAACTTCTTTAATTACATTATTATTAACAGCTAGCTATAGGACTTTATATGATAAAATCTGACCAATTGGGAAGTAAATTCATCATTGCTGCCAATCTAAAAGGAACCTAGCTCAAACGTAAGGCAGGGCAAGTAACCTGAGAACAGGTTGTAAGGTCATCAACTGCCTTAAGGCAATTTTACTCCTGGCCAGAAGATACTCACTACTCTTACTCCTCTATATTACTTCTGTCGAAAAAGTTGGAGAGTAGAGGTGTCTCTGCCCCTCTCTGGGCATCTCTGGCTCAGTGGCTCTAGGACAATCATTAGCATGAACACCCTTGGTCACTTCTGTCAGCTACCCACTGCACTTATCTCATAGAGATGAGTAAGACAGGATGGAAATTAAAAAGATACCTAAGTTCTGTCAATTAGGCACTTAATAAAAACAAATGATATTTATGCAAACATCTAAACAGCTAAGAAAGATAAAAAATAGAAGGCAAGATTTATATTTACTGCCTGCATTTTGTTTAAAAAAAGTTACGTTATACCTTAGCCAGAAGTTTTTGAAAGAAATGCTATTTAAGAATGAAAAGATAGGATGTTCTTGTTCCTTAGGAATCAATACCCTTTATAGTTTCATCAGCTAAGATTATTTTCTTCAGTGTTTTTAACACATAAATAATACTCAGATACTGGTTAAACAAGAAAAAAATGAAGGCAATGCTTTTAAACCCAATAAAGGAAAGAACTAATAAGCCTGTCTGAGAATGGACTTACTGAGTTTGTATTTGGATACAACATGAAATAATTATGGCTTTAAATCTAAAATATTAGTGTTTTAGAATTCCACATTTCCTCAGTTATCCTTTCTATTTTTTAGCAATATGAACTTCGAAGAGTTCACTTAGTTTTAAATAAAGGAATATTTTCCATACAATTTTGGAACAAAATGTGAGTGGTCTTGACCCAGGACTATTGATTTGAAGAGTAAACAATTATGTTCCTATGTACCATTAACCCAGTATTTTAAAAAAAGAAGACCCATATCTGTCAAAATATAGTTACAAATGGTTAATATCCTTTGGAATTCACTATAAAACAGAAGATAGAAAAGTTCTGAGGCACTGCTACCTTGTAATCTTTCCAAGGATTTGGGTAAAAAAAAAATGAGGGTTTTAAAAATTTTGTTTGTTGCTGTTGTTGTTTCCAAAAAAGCAATGTTTTTTTCCTCAGGTTGCAAAGCTCATTTTAAATCTCCTCTCAGTCATCATTGTGTTGGTGTTCCTGAGCTCTGTCTCATCTGTATGTGCTATGCCTTGTTATACCAGTGCATGGAGCGCTTCACTGCTTTAACCCAGTTTTCCATACTCGTCTCATATTCTTGCCAGTTCTTCTGTGGCTTGAAAATCATCTCACTTTGCCTCAGTTTCTTTAGTTCCTCCTTGTCTGTCCAAAACCCTATAGATGAAAAAATTATTCTCAAATTTTGAAGCAAATAATGAGTCCATAAAGTTTATCCACAAGCGCATGTGAAATGGTGCAAAAGTACACAATTATTAATCTAAAACACAATCCAAAGTATTGTGCTGCTTTTGAATTTTGTTAAATTAACTATCCAAGGGAATAAATACACCAGGATTTTAAAATCTTTTGGTTTCTAACTATCAGCTTTATTTACATGTGGCAGGGCACCGAGTCATTTCTAGAACGACCACCCCCTCTCATTTAATTTCATGATTTGTTAAGAAAATAAAGTAAAAAATAGTATATTTCCTTTCTATAGAATTAAAAAACAAAGATAAATTAAGAATGTATCTTGAGGGAAGAGGCAACTCCTTAGGACATGCATAAAATTCAAAGTTGGTAATTAATAGAATAAATAGTTTCTTTTGCAAACTATTGCATTTCATACGTTACTTAAATTCCTATTCAAGATAATATTGGACGTCTAGCATATATTGTTCTTTACAAAGAGGATCAGGTGATTTATAATAAGCAGCAAGAAAACACATAATTATGAAGGTAAGTAGTCTGAAATGGTAAAGGTATCTTGTTAATAAACTTGGTACATACTCACTCTGAAGTACTTAGGAGACAAGGCTTTGTGAAGTACACTTTCTCCTACCAATAAAATTGACACATAAAATTCTTCTAAAATTTTCTGTCAGGTCACATTCTTTCTACTTACAAAGATAGGATTTTAGACTCTGTATTTAAAGATATTAATAGAAGTTTTAAAAAGACTAAAAATAGCTTTAATTAGTATACTATAGTTAGGTAAGTCTAACCATAAAAACAAATATGTTCTTAAAACCTTTATTTCCAGTATTTATTATTTACACTAAGGCATATATGTATTTTTAGTCATTTTATTAAATATGTATTGAATAGACCCAGTTTCTGAGTGAATTTTGAAAATACAGAGAACATACATAGCCTTCAGTCTCAAATTTCTGAAAAAGAAGCCATCTAACCAGAAATCTCAGCTGTTCTGAGAAAGTCAAACTGCTTCCCTATAGTTAGTGAAGTATCATAGTACAATACTAGAAAGGCTTGAGATTAAATACAAAGTGAAGTAAATAAAACTCAAGCCACTCTGTTATGTGTATGGATAATCGGCAAGTGTTTGTTATTTACAGTATTTTAAGTGTTCAAGAGAATGTGACATATTTATTCTTATGAAGTGAAAAGTATAGAAGAATTTGATTCTTATGAATAATAAAAGAATTTTATAAGAATTTGATTTACTCTAATTATAAACATAATTTATTCATTTTGCAAGAACTGTTTAAATACATTAGATTTTCCTTGTAATAGGTCTAAACTTGCTCAGTTATGTGTAACTATTTTTAAAAGCCAACTAAATTAAAATTTTAAGGGTTAAAATATACAAAAACCTTTAAATTTGTAAATGGAAATGATCATTTAAGGGAAAGTTATTTTCTTAAACTTGAATTATGCAAATATTAGTTAAATGAGAGTGATTGTAATAATTTTATCCAAATTAACAGATTATTAATAGAATAAAGTTTAAGTTGAACTTACCAAGATTTCATGCTTTTTGGATTTGTAACTTGACTACACTAAGTATCAGCCTGAAATTTTAAACTTTAAAATATTCTCCTCTGGCCCTGGCCATGTGGCTTCGTGGGTTGGAGCATATAGTCCAGGGCACTGAAAGACTATGGGTTCGATCACTGGTTCAGGCACATAAGGGAGGCAACTAATCGATGCTTCTCTGTCTCTCTGTCTCTGTCTCCGTCTCCCCTTTCCTAACTCTAAAAGAGTCAAGGGAAACATGTCCTCAGGTACAAATGAAAAAAAAAAATTCTGTTCTGCACAAACACTCCTTCCTTTCACACAGGAACACAGGTATCATCCTGCTTCCTAAGGAGCCCCTAGCTGGCCTCACACTTCCATTCTTTACCCCTCCAAATTAATCCTTTCACTAACTGTCAAAGTGATGTGTTCAAATGTAGATCTGTCCACGTCCCTCTCCTGCTTCAAATTCTTCAGTGGCTCTCCAGTGCCTTGACAATTAAGCCCAAACTCCTCTTTTTGAGGAATCCACCACACCTGGCCCTCTGGGTACCTGCCCAGCCTCCCTCTTGCTCTCATCATATATCAGCACTTAATGCTTTTCCTGCTGGATAACTCACCTTTTACCTTCTCCTCAGCTAGCTGCCTGTTAGCCCCTTCAAAACTGAGCTCTTTGTTGCCTCCTCTGAGAAGTCTACACCATAGCTGTTTGCTGGTTTTTCACATTAAGTTTAATAATCAGTGGACTTGTCTGTTCACACCAGAGATTCCCATGTAGGGTCTATGTCTTTTAAACTGTATTTCCAGCAGTGACTGTCATGTAGCAAGGTGCTCAACAAATGTTCAATAAATAAAAGGAATGGAGTTGTTTCCAATGTCACAGTTTACCGGGAGACCTTGCCGTGCTAAAGACCAAAGCAGTTGAGAACGAACTGTCCTCACCTCATTCCCAGGACTGAAGGAATGAAGTAAGGCTGAAAGAGGTGCTGAAGACCCACCCACAAAGAAGGTCAAGGGCATATTTTGTGAGCCAGGTGCATATGTTTATGGAGCTTAGTGGACACCAAGGTTTTCCAGACTCTCTCTGTAACTTTATAGTTTGGAAGGAGAAATGCTATTCGTAAGAAATAGTTTGCAACACAGCTCTCATTTTGATAAAACCCACACATACCAACAGCAAGGCCAGCTAGAAAAGCTGCACCTCGGCAGGACATATCAAGGTGGATGGGTCTGTCTATATCCTCATTAATCAGGTCTGAAGTCATCTGCATTACAAAACTGTTCTTACAGACTCCTCCATCTGCCCTGTGGGGAGCAAGATATCCGAGATAAATTACCACAACAAGAGCATACAAATATTTTTTAAGGATCAAATTTTTTTTAGACCTTTGGTTTTACTTTTTAATTCCAAAATTATACGACTTGCATCGACCTGAAAATAGAGGACTTTATTAAGTAATCTTGAAACATTTTTTCTTATTCCTGACATCAGTTTTCCTATCTGCTCTGCTTGTCCTGGGACTAGTTCAAAATAGGCCAAGTAAAGTAAGCCAACAGAAGAATTCATTTGGATGCTCTAGCAAAGAAAATGTGATGCTTCTGTGCCAAAAGAATAGCCACACACGCAAAAAAGAGATTTTAAAGATTTTTATAATGTACATATGGGTGCAAAGATCCTCCCAAATTCCATACTGTGTTATATTCTCCATAAATCCAAAATCGACTTTCCTGTCTAAATTTCTATGACTAAGAAGTTTGTTGCAAAGAAGCTAGGTTTAAGTTCTTCTTGAAATCTTGAATAACCATATGATGAAAATGCTAATAGCAGCTACCACATACTTCTAATTTCAAATTAAATCTATTAGAAACAAGTTTACATACCGGATTTTTGTTACAGGAATATGGATCTCTTTCTGCATCACCTCATATAACTGTTTGTTTCTAGTTAAAAAAATAAGGTAACCATTTAGAGGAAATTGAAATCATAGTAATTCTCTATTTTTTTCTACACTTGAAAACCAAAACCTGTGGTTTTATTTACATTATATATAATGTGTATATATTATATATTCATTATTATATTTAATTTAATAATCAACATATAATTGTATATCTATAATTTTTCTATATTTACATATTTCAGTAATTTAATAATTTAATTAACTTATATTTATATAATAAACATTAATTTATTAATTAATGTATAATAAATTTAATCAACTTATATAGCTAATAGTTTAAATATATTTAATTATTGTAATAAAATTTATATATGTAATTAATTTAATAATTAATATATAACTATGTATGTATATATGTATATATAATTATATATATAATATGCAAAGAAAGTATTTAAGAAATATATTATGCTAACTAGAAGTAGATAACAGGTGCTCAAACAAGAGGCTCAGGGCCTTGTGCTTTTCACTTTGATACAAAAGAGTATAATTTTTATTATTGAACTGAGTTTCATCTATAACAATTCCTACAAATAAAAATATAAGGCAAGCATCCATTTAATAGATAGCTACTAAGAAACATGCCATAAATAACATCTAACAGAATTCACCAAATGTAAAAATAATCATTTCATAACCACAGGAAATTTTAAACATTAAAATGCTCCATATCCACAACAGGCGCATTCTTAGTTTTAATGAACTACACCTGCCCCATCACAAAAAGAGCACAGAAAAATATACATGAAGAATAATTCTGATGATTTAACCTTTGAGTCTCACAGAAGCATATTCAAATAAGATACAAAAACCTTTGAAAGTCCAAAGTTTGAATCCCTAATGCTTGAGAAATTGGATATTTTAAAAAATCATTAAATTGCCCTGACCAGTGTGACTCAGTTGGTTGGGTATTATCTTGCAAAACAAAACGTCTCCAGTTCGATTCCCAGTTAGGGCACATGCCTGGTTTGCAGGTTCAAGAGGCAACTGACTGATGTTTCTCTCTCTCTCTCTCCCCCCTTCCCTTCTCCTCTGTCTAAAAATAAATAAATAAAATCTTTTTAAAAAATTAAAAAAATAAAATATCACTGTATTTTCAGATACTAAATCTAAGTGGTACTGGTACTACTTAGTATGAAAAATAAGAGATGCTACGAAAATTAGCAGTAAGAACATATTGTGTCAAATACAGTATGAATTAAACTAAACATATAAACCCTTAATTAAAATTAAGAAATTTCCAGTTTTAAAAATCAACAAACAACAAGTGCTGGCGAGGGTGTGGAGAAAAGGAAACCGTAGTACTCTGATGGTGGGAATGCAGACTGGTACAGCCACTGTGGAAAACAGTTTAGGATTTCCTCAAAAGCTAAAAATGGAACTGCCTTTTGCCCCAGCGATTCCACTGCTGGGATTATACCCTAAGAATCCTGAAACACCAATTCAAAAGAATATATGCACCCCCATGTTCATAGCAGCACAATTTACAATAGCCAAGTGGTGGAAGCAACTGAAGTGCCCATCAGTAAATGAGTGGATCAAAACAATATGGTACATTTACACAATGGAATACTATACAGCAGAAATAAAGAAACTACTACCCTTTGCAACAGCATGGATGGAACTGGAGAGCATTATGCTAAGTGAAAGAAGCCAGGGGTGAAAGACAAATGCCACATGATCTCACCTGTAAGTGGAACCTAATCAACAAAACAAACAAGTAGTAAAAATATAAACAGCAACACTGAAAGATAAAAAAAAACTGGCAGTAACGAGAGGGAAGGAAGGAGGGGGGTCACGGGGAAAAGAAGGGAAAGGGTCAAATCAAGGAACATGTATAAAGGACCCATGGAGAAAGCCAAAGTGGGGGAGGATTGAGGGTGGAGGGGGGCGGGGGCAGGGGAAAGTGGTGGCGGGAAGGTGGAGACTAATGTATTTGAATAATAAAGAAAGAAAGAAAAAAAGACAGAAGGAAGGAAGGAAGGAAGAGAAATTCGCAAAAACAATTTCCAATTGTATAGAAATTAATAAAAGGAAATGGCAAGATAAAAATGGTGGAGAAAGGAGTTTAGTGCAGGTTTTGGTACCTGAAAGCTATTGACTCCAGTATTGCTCGTACAAGATGGTATTTACTCGTGGAAGGCTTCAAACCCATAAAAGAGGCACATGCACAGGGGTCATTTAATGGAACCTAAAGTAAGAGATAGTAAGCATAAATTATTATTGTTCTCAATTACATCTGTAGACTTTAAGACATATATTGTACAATAAGGACATGCCCATTTTAGAAAAAAAAATCCCTATTAAATAGTTTTAAAATAAACAATAGCCCCAAAATATATTAAATATTATGATAACTTTTAAACAGGACTTAAGCAAGTTTGAGTCACTGATACCAGACTGAGCTGATCCTTGTGTTTGAGTTCATACAAAGGAAAGGAACTAGCTTTATAAATGAGGGAAATGAGAAGTAATCCTGGTATCCACGCCACCTCCTTCTCCAACTGTAAAGTTTCTACACTGAAGTTGTTTACTAAGTAGCTTTTTGATGACATAAATTAAACTCAAGAAAAAGAACAATAATGCAAAAAAATGTGTTTTTCAGTGTCATAACTTACACCCACTGTGTTGTCAGACACTCAAGTTGAGATCCTCAATTTCTTATCTTATAGCCTTATTGCCTAATATGAAAAATGACCCAGCATAACATCTGTCTTGAAAAGAGTCAAAATCTTGAGCTGGATGTATTCATCAGATGAAATTTGTATTCATATTTGTATCCTCAGAAGTAACAGACAATTCTGGGACACAAAACAAAGATTCCTGCCAGAGCTTGCAGTCTCGTGGGGAAGCAGACAGTAGAGTGCCAACATATCTACTACTGTAAGGTTGTGACAGGGACATGCAAGTGCTGTCAGGAACTGATGGTCCGTAGAAGAACACCTGCTAGCTTCAGAGCACTGACACATCCCCTCTTTACCTGGAACACTTCTTACTGCCTCTTCTCCCAGTTAATCCTACTCCCCTCCAAATCTATACTCAGTTTCCTCTGGGAAAGCTCCTGACCCCAAGCACCAGACCACATCTCCAATTATACATTTCTACGGGAGCCTCTAACTTCCCATCATATCATGTGCCACAGTTTATAATTACATATATTTGTGTGATTGTTTATTTAGTACTGTATTGGGCCCTCCACAGGGGATCAATACACATCTGTTGATTGATAACACATTTATTGACTCAATTAATAAACTATGTTTCTTATTACTTAACTGAAGAAAATCTACACTACATCCTTTCTTTACTGTAGCTATGATTTTTCCTCCTATTGTGAATTTATCTAGATCATTTTCAAATTCATTAACATCTTTTGATGATTCACTTAGTAAAAGTTGATTTACTCAGTAAAGCTGGTCTATATCAGGTGATGTAATCCTGCAAAACAAAGATAGGTCAGACTCTGCCAGTTCATTTGGTCCCTACTGTGCTATGGGGTTTCTTTGCATAGAAACCACTTCTTCTGTTAAACTACATAAACTCCTAGAATAAATGGCCTGAAATCGTTTTTGTACAAATAATTATGAACATAGCTTACCATTAATAATAGCTCATTTGAGGGGCAATAAAGTCCATAGAAACCTAAAAATGTCTTGATAGGTTACAATGTCTCTCTATTCGTTAGTCCCAGTGAATCTCTCTTTGGGATGATATGGTAGAAAAAAACACTGGGAAGGTTCTTTCTAGGGCCTGGTCACAACTAGCCAGGGCAGACAGCTTCTAGCCTCACCTCCAATACGTCATTACCAATCCCATTCAGTAAGCCTCACAGAGTCATCAATTAACCAAGAACAGCAAGACTTGGCCAAGCTCAGTTTGGCACCCTAAGCAAAAATAGTAGACTCCTGCCCAGGGCGCTGACTATTTGCCCCCAGCAGGCCCTTGTCACCACTGAGATGTCAGCCTAACCTGCTAGGACTTGCAAGATGGTTAATGTGAACCTGTTTTTTGTCCTAGACAACCTAGACCCTAAAGCACGTTCCTCTCGCACCTATTGTGTACTTCTGTCATCATAGTATTTATGCTCTACCATGAACTGGTATGGCAGAGTGCTTATAACATGGACTCGAGTCAGAACGCTTGGACCCTAAAATCAGATTTGCCCCTCAGTAGCTGTGTGAGACTGGGCAACTGATTTAACAGCTCTAAGTCTTAAGTTTCCTGATCTTCAGAAAGGGATAACAACAGTATCTTGTGTCTTGGTGAGTTACTGAGGAGTAAATGAGATAATGCATGTAAAGAATTTAGGACAGGACTGGGGAAGATGGCAGCAAGATAGGTGGGAGCTGAGCCCACTTACTCGTGCATCCAACTGGGACATGTAGCCGATCTTCCAAAGAACAGAGTGAACAGCCAACAGAATCCCAGCTGACATGAAATTTGGAAGCCAAAGGTTACAGAGGACACTTAAAAAGGGAGGGTAAGGAGATTTTGAAGGCCGACGGGAAGGTCCTCAGACCGTGCACTGGAGACCGTGGCAGCCGCAGGAGCACTGGAGGAGGGCCAGGTCAGTGACTGCGACTTAGCGGCTTCCTCCCCTCCCAGAGCAGGGAAGTCACAGACCCGCGCCAGGAAGGACCTGAACACTTAAAGTCGCTGAGGGGGTAAAGAGGCAGTGAGAGACACACAGCTGGCAGCATACCCAGGCTGGGGCAGTGCTTGCTGGCTGGAACAGTACGAGAGAAATCGGGGAGCCAGGTGACTCCTAGAGCTGGGAGAAGAGATGTGTCGGGATTGGCCTTGACACAGATAGACTCTAAACTGGTCTGAGAGTTGGTCTGTGTGGAAAGCTGGGCGCTTGTTAGGAACTGCAGGCTGTACCCAAGGAGTCTTCTCTCACAAGGGGTTTTCAGCCGCTGTGCAAGGACCTCGCATGCACAGGAACTTTACATGCAAAGGGTCCTCATGAACACAGCAGCCGGGACAGCGAAGAGGAAGGAATGGGGGCACAATCTGTTCCCACTCAGGGTGCCTCACAGATTGATCAAAGTGGGGCAGCAGGGGCTCAGAGAGGAAGCAGCGCCCAAAGAGACTCCATTCAACAGGGGAATTGAGCTGCCCTGCAGGGACTTTGTGTGTGCTCAGCACCCAGGCCAACAAAGGTGGAGAGGCGTGACATTCAGGGTACCTCATGGACTGATCTAAGGGTTGTAAAATGAGGTGGACTATCAGTGCCGGCCTGGCACATAGGAGCAGAGTAGACAGTGCAGGCTGCCTAGTGCTCTGAGGGTGTGGGCTGGAAACTGGGCACCTGTGACGATTGTAGCCCAGACTGGCCCCCATCCTCGAGGAACCACAGGAAAGGAAAAAAAACAGAGCCCAGCCCCACTCTGTCTGCCCACAGGATCAGGGGAAACCTGCAAAACCCACTTTGCAGGTTTAAAGTTAGCAGGAGGCTGGTTCTCTTTTTTTCAAGACTAAGACAGTAAGACCTGGAGCTGCCAGAAAATCAGAGACAATCCAGAAAGAAGTCAGAAGGTGAACACCAACAGCTGGGCCAAATTTCACTTTGCTATCCTTCAGAATATGCATTTTTTTTAAATTTCTCTTCTTTCCGTTGAATTCATTTTTTTGTTTGTTTGATATCATTTTCATTTGTTTTCTTTATTCTCCCTTTCATAGTGCATTTTAATTTTTCTTTCACTTCATTTGTACTCTAATAACACACTACTCTTGGTCTTTTACTTTTATTCTTTTTACTCAGTTATATATTTCTTACCATACTATTAGTATTCCAAATCCCACACAGCACCCTTCCCTGGTCTTAATCTGCTTTGCCATCTTCCTGAGCTTTATAACTGTTATGGTTAACTTTATTTTCTCACATACCATGCCAAGTTTCTGTCCCATACTCTCACTATTTCTCGTCCATCTAACTTCCCATAAGCACTCTGCTTTCTAAAGTCAGTTAACATTCTTTTTCCCTTCTAATAAGAGTGTTATCTCTTTTTCACCTTTTATAAAAAGTGGCTGGTTGGGTAAAATATCACGGTTATTGCTGTACTTCTCCAGAGGAACTCCTATTTGTTCACTATAGTGAGTAAGGAATTTTATCTCATTGTTTCCTCTCTCTTTTCTCTTTCTTTCTTCTTTTCTTTCCCCTCTCTTTCTTTTGTCCCCTCTCTCAACCTGGGCTTTACTTCTTACTCTTATTATTTTGCTTCTCCCATCCTCTCAAAATCACTTTTCTTTATTGTAGACATCTCATATTCACTTTTTACTTTTGCTCAATATTATTATTCCTGTTCCACCTTCATTAAATTTCATTCAACTGTCGTTGCTATCAACCTTGCTGTAAATTTTCCGCAATTTTGCTCCCATTGGCCCAGCACCTTTTCAATTTCACTTCAAATTTCATGGTATACTCTTCCCCCTTCTTACCCCGCTGCTCCTAGAGCGCTTTTGTGTTACACTTACATTGTAAATTTTGCTCTCTCCCTTTCTTCACCTCAGTTCTATCCCAACTCTTATCAAGTCTTCTCCCTTTTACCACACAACAGCATTTTTCCCTCTTGTAGTTATCTCGTATTCCCTTTGTCATATCACATAATATCGACAATCCTTCTTCACGTTTATTAATCTCATTAGTTCTCTTGAGGTTGAGACAGCTGATGTGGTAGGGGGGTTCTTTTTGCTGGCGTAGGTTTGGTGGTCTGGTAATACTGCTTTGTTAACCAACACCTGTACAACAGCACATAAGACATGGTGGGAGTTGTGAAAAACAGTAAACCCACTGGAAGGGAGAACCCACCAACAAAGGAGCCACAAATAGGTAAAGCCCAAGTACAATAAGAGAACCCAAACATATGGAAGGGCAATCCTAGAGCATCCAGATGAGGAGATCAAAGAGACCACAACACTGGGTCCCACAGAACCCCTAGCACAGAAGTTCACCCTATGAAGACAGCTGGCACAGCAGAGGATCTGAAATAGCAGAAACAAACAAAAAGAGTCACCTTAAATGTGGAGACAAAGAAAAAATCTGCAATTGAAAGGAATGGAAGACTCCTCACTAAAAGAGCTAAATGAAATGGAGGCAAGCAAACTATCAGGTATAGAATTCAAAAGAATGGTTATAAGGATGCTCAGGGAACTCACTGACAACTACAAGGAACTTAGTGGGAACTACAA